TCACATTCTTTGGAATTTTGCATTTCAGATAGGTTACTTCACATAAATGCAATTGAATAAAAAATATGAACTGATGTGAATGTGTGAAATATCGTGATGTGGGTATTTCAAAATAAAAAAATGTTTCTATTTAACAACAATATAAATAAGTATAAAAAGGAATTAGTTTTAATACAACATTTTAACATATTTATAATAAAATATAATAAATAAAATATTTTTTGGAATAAAGATATATAATAATAAATATAAATACGGAATTATGAAAATAAAAATATATAACTATAATGGAAAAAATAAATATAAATAAAAATTTTTGAATATATACAAATAAAAAAATTAACGTACATTTATTAGTATAAATAAGTATAGTAAAAATAATCTACCTACTACCTACGCTAATATGCAACCCACTGCATGAGAGGTTCTTTAATCAATAAAATGTCCGTTACCAATTTTATTTTGATTATCAACGTTGACAACAGCAAAAATGATCTCATACTGTTCGGCACTGTTAATAACTTTAAGCCAACGCCTGCACACTGGTGCAGTGGCCGAGTCGGTTGAGTGGCTCAAAATAAAAAAATGTTTCTATTTAACAACAATATAAATAAGTATAAAAAGGAATTAGTTTTAATACAACATTTTAACATATTTATAATAAAATATAATAAATAAAATATTTTTTGGAATAAAGATATATATAATAATAAATATAAATACGGAATTATGAAAATAAAAATATATAACTATAATGGAAAAAATAAATATAAATAAAAATTTTTGAATATATACAAATAAAAAAATTAACGTACATTTATTAGTATAAATAAGTATAGTAAAAATAATCTACCTACTACCTACGCTAATATGCAACCCACTGCATGAGAGGTTCTTTAATCAATAAAATGTCCGTTACCAATTTTATTTTGATTATCAACGTTGACAACAGCAAAAATGATCTCATACTGTTCGGCACTGTTAATAACTTTAAGCCAACGCCTGCACACTGGTGCAGTGGCCGAGTCGGTTGAGTGGCTCCGCAGAAATCTGTTGGGTCGTAGGTTCGAACGCCGGTACGGGAATTTTGTTTTATTACTTTTTTAGACGTAGAACATTTAAAGAAATTAAAAATAAAATAAGAACTTTAGCGATAAAACATAAAAGAGGAAATGTCGAAGAAAAATATTGGACTATAACCTATATATGGGCTGAAAGTGCTCGGAGAGACCTTTCATTTAAGCCTAGTTTGATCCGCGCACTTTTTATAGGCTTTGCACAGTGGTTCAATCTGTTAGGACCTTATTATTATTAAGGATGGGTCCAATTTGGGTCTCTGAAACGGTTTTGGACTATAACCTATATATGGGCTGAAAGTGCTCGGAGAGACTTTTCATCTAAGCCTAGTTTGATCCGCGCAGGTTTTATAGGCTTTGCACAGTGGTTCAATCTGTTAGGACCTTCTTATTATCTGGATGGGTCCAATTTGGGTCTCTGAAACGGTTTTGGACTATAACCTATATATGGGCTGAAAGTGCTCGGAGAGACCTTTCATTTAAGCCTAGTTTGATCCGTGCAGGTTTTATAGGCTTTGCACAGTGGTCCATTCCGTTTTTTTACATCATAATAAAGATATGACCCAATTCGGGTGTCTGAAACGGTTTGTTTCATAGTTGGTGCTGCATAGTATTTATTTAATTTGTATTCAAGTAATTTTTATTACCAAAGTAATAAATTTTAATATAATAATTAACAAATAATTATATTTTTCAAAATTTTCTTTTTACTAAGTCTTTAACAAAGCTCTCTTAAGTCCTTAAAAGAGCTCTGTTAAGTGACTGTGTTCTGTTAACATCCAATTTAACTTTCCAATTTATCTTCACACCCATAAAATACCGAACATAGCGAGGTGCCGTTATATGGGGCTATACGAAGACGTGGACCTGCACGGGCAATTTTCAGTCTTAGGGTGTAGTATCCATTTGGAACTTCAATTACCAAATTTGAAACAATTCCAGTGAATAATGTCGCTAAAATAATCAAAATACCGAATATCGGGAGGTACCGTTATATGGGGGCTATACGAAGACATAGACTTGCACAGACAGTTTTCTATCTTAGGGTGTAGTATCCATTTGGAACTTCAAATACCAAATTTGAAACAATTCCGGTAAATAACGTCGCTAAAATCATCAAAATACCGAATATAGGGGGGTTACCGTTATATGGAAGCTATATGAAAACGTGGACCTACATGGCCCATTTACGAACTTAACCTGCCTACTGGAAAAATAAACATGTGTGCAAAATTGTAGCCATCTATCTCAATTCATTCGAAAGATAGCGTGATTACAACAGACAGACGGACAGACAGACAGTCAGACAGACAGACGGACATCGCTAAATCGACTTAGAATTTTACGCTGATCAATAATATATATACTTTGTTGGGTCTGACATGAGTATTTCGAGGAGTTACAAACGGAATAACAAAGTTAATATACCCTCCATACCGTTGGTAATGGAATCAGTTGAGAACGGCCGAACCGATTTGCATAATTTTTTGTACAACCGTTCGTCATACCCCGAGTTAGGTTTTAAAGAACAAAATATTGACCACGCCTACTTTTACGCCCACTATTTCGATTTATCTAAAATCCTTATAGTTGCCAAATAATGAAGATATCGGTTTTAAAATTATTACACGACATACCGTAGACTTTCCCTCCAATCCTAAGTATTTATTTGGGGACTGAGGAACTGACCACGCCTACTTTTTAATCTATATGTACGGATATGCATAATTTTTTTTTTAAATATTCGTTGTACACCGATTTAGTTTTTTATTCAAAGAAAAAGTGACCACGACCAATTTTACGCTAATTTTTTGATTTACCTAAAATCCTAATATTTGCCAAAATCATGACGATATCTGTTCCACAGTTAGTATATGACGTAATCTTGACTCTCCCTCCAACCTTAGGTATCTGTTTGGGGTCAGAGGAACTGCCCACACCTACTTCTTTAAATCTGTATGTAAAAAATTTAAAAAAGTATAGTAACACATTAGTTGAGAACGGCTGGGCCGATTTGACTCATATTTACTTTTGGTTATTTGTAATTTGAGAGGAAACGTTTTCATGAAATAAAATGTTGAGAAAAGCCTCTATAGAAAAATTGACTTCTCTATTTTGATATGGAGTTTTGTGTAGAATTGTTTCAAAATGCCTTTTGGAATTTAAAACTCTTATTGAAAAAAAAAAAAAACCGAAAAAATCGAGAAATTTTGCATATTTTCTATACATGCCGTTATATGGTTTTCAATTTTGACTAAAAAATAATTTTTAAAGCATCAACACATTAAAAATCTCGACGTACTTTTAAATTGAGGCTATGCCTAATGGGGAACCAATAGTAGCCAGTTATTTCCGGTATTGATTTCACAATACCGAAAACTTTAAATGTCAAGTTACAGATAATTCGGTAGAAATTGTAACAACATGCAAAAGGACGAATTTTTAGTGGTATTATTATACCTAAACGAAACTGATATCTTCTAACTTCCTAGGAATATTGTAGTTCAAAGATTAACCTAAATATTTCGCCTTTATTGCGATTTCAACGATCGCCCACATACACAGGCGGGTATAGATTAATGACATAGGATTTTACACCGGCAAAAACTAAATTCCTTAAAATCTGGTCTTCTAAAAGTTACGAATTCAAAATTACTTTTGATTTGGAAAATTTACGATGATATAACGAATATAAAGAGGTACTGGGGAATAGAAAATAAATGATAAAGTGGACTTTTGTTGTAATTTTTCGACAAATGATTTATAAACTCGAAAATGCTTTTGAGCCATTCAAAATACCTCTAATCGGCCACATTAGAGCACATTTTGTTGACTAATATTAGGAGATAATATTATATGAAGGCTACGTCTAAATGAGGACAAATATATACCTTTTCTAACATCAATCAGCGTAATAATAATATAAAAGCCTGTGCAAAGTTTGAAAGACGCATATTAAATTTGGTGACTCTAAAGTAATTCAAATGGTGAACGGAAAGGCTCCGAGATATAATATAATCGACAAAGATTTCTACTCTTTACCATACTTTGGAGTCCCTAACTTTTATAAACTTTATTTATGATAGTTAAATTAAAGTCATATTACCAGGATTTCAATTTAGAAATTACTATCGATTCTGAGGGCCAAAACTCCAAAAAATTGACTATATATGGAAATAATCCATCCAATGAGAACTTAAAATGCAAAATTCATTGGGACTGCAATCAGTGAAATACCGAATATGAAGAGCACTGTTATATGCGGACTATACAAAATAGTGGAGTAAGTTGAAAATTTAGAAAGAAAAGGATTCATATCCTCGGAAAATTCTTTCGAAACCTTAAAAGTAACCTTAACTCACATGTAACGTTATACGGTGACTATGAGCTATCGTCAGTAATTACACTGCGGGAAATTACACTTGGAAAATTGTTTGGTTTGTAGATAAAAATCCCAAAAAGTGGTTTCGGGTCAAATGTTTTTAGGGTCCATTTTATATAGCTTAACCAAACACAAAGGGCCTCAAATATTTTGCTGTATACTTCGCAAAAGTTACGATAGAGTTTTAAATTTGATACAGTCCTAGGGGTTTCATGAAAAATCAGTTGTACAAAATATGTATCAGGTCGGTCTAAATTGATGTAGTCCCTCAAATAATGTAGCCCCTTTAAAATTTCTCAAATGTTAGTAATTTGAGATTTTGGGAAGAATAACATATTCTTTCAAATAATTATAAGAATAGGACCATGCTGTGGTATAACCCTTATATGAAGCCGCTGATTTCGGCTATTTCCAGCGTCTTGGTCCCATTTTTCAATTGGTTTTACCCTTATTTGGCATCTTAGCTTCCTAGGCGATAGAAGACCTCTTCGCGGAAATTTTGTTGCTCTTCCTTTATTAATTAATATATTTCTCTGTTTTAGCATTTAATCTAATATGGAGGAATATAAATTTCTTTTTAAAATCGTCTTGGTTGGAAATGCGGGCGTTGGAAAAACATGCCTAGTAAGACGTTTTACGCAAGGTCTTTTCCCCCCTGGTCAAGGTGCTACTATTGGAGTCGATTTTATGATTAAGACTGTTGAAGTCGAAGGCGATAAAATAAAGGTAAGCCCTCGTATTTTCTTATTTTTTGTTATACTTTGCTGTGGTACAGTATAATGGGGTGCCAATGAAATTTAACTGATGATCTGATTTATTGCATATGCACATACCCTAAATAAATGCATGTACCATAGAACTGCAATATTTTCTTTAACGAATTACTCGTTTAAATACTTTACATTACATTACGACGGTGCTGATATAATTTTACCGACGTCCTGATCAATGTTATATGCTCCTTAGGATTATTTTGTTACTTGAAAGAAAAACAATTATATAAATACATTTTTGTTCTCTACGCATTCTCTTTTTGAAACTTTATATTTGAAAAATTCTAAACGTATCTGTTTGAAAATTATTATACGAGACCCTAAGGGTGGCGAAAGCACCGACTACTTTTGGAAATTCGACGCATCACCCCATAAATACGCTGCATTTATTAAAACTGCAGAAGACTGAAAATAATAAAGAATAAAAAAATCTTTCTAGTTTCTTACTCAAAATAATAAAATGATTTCTGAAAATGCCAGAAGTGGGTATTTATCAGGAAAAAGCTGGATTGTTATGCTGCTATTCGTGGACAGAAAAATATTCCTCCAAATTAGAATTATTTTCTTCTCGAATTTGGATTAAAAAATGGAAGAAAAGAAATAAAACAATTGGATGAGTTGTGTGTGCAGGTTGGTTCACAAGTAAAGTTTATTTAGGAACATTTTAAGTAGGTGTGCGACACAAACACAAACAAAGATCATGGATTGACTCTAAACTTAGGATATAAAATTAGCCAGATCGAAGTTCTAACCTTAGTAATTACACACGAGTAACCAAGACTGAGAGGAGGAAGGTGGTAGCTTTAGCGCGAGTTCTTTGAAATCTGACATTGACATAGCATCAAGGTAATTTAATTCGAAAACTAGTATACAAAGATTTAACAGTGCAGATATGTGAGCAGTTTCGAAATTAATTAACCAAAAACCCACAGTTATGGATTCGGACTTCATACCAACACCCACAGTGTTTACGCCAATTTTATTAAAAGAAAAAAAAAAGCAAGAAATAAAAACATGTTAGTTAGTGTTTTTACTGTATTTGATCAGTATGCAACAACATTGCAATTCTATAACAGTTTTATTAGCTATCACCATTTTCGTTGTTATAAAAACAATAGAATAAACTTAGTTGTTATATTCAATATTGGATCTGCCTTGTATTGTGTAAGGCATTTTTTTTTTTTTTTTTTTTGAAAAGCTTATAACTTGGAAGCTTTTCAATGATCATCGACAATTTAAAAACATTTTTAAACTGACACACTGATCAATGATTGGACTAGAATATCTTGAGTGGGTGTGTTAGGACGTTTAGGAGAGAGGGACACCACTCCCACTAAAGGGAGACTTCCCAATGCAACAGCATTTGAGCTAGTCAGCTGGCTGATTGTTTTCGACGGACGAGAAACGGAGCAATTTGCCGGACGGACCTTGTGCTTTTTATTCGGACGTCGCTTGCGAGCAGGACCTAAATCGGACTTTGCTACACCCGTTTTCGGGTCATCATGAAGGGGTGTGTGGTGTCTGTTTTTGCATCCGCGACAACTGCTTTTGATACGACAATCCTTTGCCAAATGAGTGCGTGCCGGACAGCGGGTACATCAACCATAAGCCAGGACTGGCCTTTGACGTTTCTCTATGGGGAGATAGAGAAATGTCTTGCAGGATCAACGCGGATGTTAGAAAGACCAGTAGCTATATCAATTTCTGCGAAAAATTTATCGTAGTCCTAAGTCCATCGGCAAAAGTGAATTTTTTCATGATTCTAGGGAAAAGAATCGGGCTAACGATGTTGAAATTTATTCGGTCAATAAGACCAATTTAGTAGTAAGCAGTCTTACAACGACATTCTCTACACGAACATCAGCAACGCAAGTATGACCATCAGGTGGTCGCAGGATTAATATTTATTGCATAATAGCGTATTTAGATACAAAATTGTGCATGGATTTTCCCACATTATTAGGATTCATAGTTTATTCCGGATTTATTCAACCAGATTTACTATAAAACAAGTAAGCAAAGGCTACAGTCGAGCGGGGCCGACCGTTGAATACCCTACAACACTATAATAAACGATACAGTTTATATAGGCGAGATACTCGAAAGAATTCCACAAGATATTGTGACAAATAATAAAAGAAAACCATCAGGTTTCGTTCTCTAAATTTCGAATAATAGCAACTTAAACTAATTTGCTCATTTCCAATTTATTGGTAGATGTTGCACTTAAATGGTCTTCCTAGATCTGGAACAAATATTTCCCAAAGACCTATTATCTCTCAGAAAGATTAACATTTATTATGGGTCCGTTTCAACCCCCAAATATATGGCGATCATCTCCAAAAAGAATTGGATTTTATTCTGACCCTCATCTTATCTCCATGCAAAATTTCGTAAGGATCGGGCCATAAATGCGATCTGTATATGATATCCTAACTACTTAGTTTTGTTAGCTGTAGAAATATTACCAAATGTTTAATTCAAAAAGAAAATATGCCAAAAATATGACAAAATTAAAAAAATATGAGAAAATTTTACAAAATCAATATTTTCATCTTTAGAGCGATATTTTTATGCGATTATTTAGACGTTTTTTTTCCTGCCAAGAGGTCATTCTGAATTAATGAGAACTGTCGAAATCAGTTCAGCCGTTCTCGACATATAAGAGATTTTTCAAGCATATCTTCTTTGATAAAGATATATATCGCACATATTTTGCCATATATCCGTTTTGTTGGATGACATCATCAATGTAAAGATCAGAAGTAACCTTGTCATGGCTTTGTGATTTCGCCGGGATTTAAAATATTCGCGGTTTAATGAAAAATTTTGAATTTTTTCAACAAAAAAGATATGGTTTATTTTATCCGCTAGATATTATCCGATGACCACCCAAATGGGTAGGCTTCTTGCCAGCCCTAAACTCTAGCTACATGCGAAATTTTTCAGTTTTTGGTCCATTTCAACCTCTAAATATTATGCGATCATCACCAAATAGCTAGATCGACTCAGCTCGGCGAGATAGGAAGATCCATATATACTTTCCTATGTGGGAAATCAATATTTCGTGGTGTTACATGATTTTTGGCCCAATCAAACTTATAATACCCCCAACACATAGTGTTGTAGGGTATAAATATATATTTTTTTTACGGCCGGATGTATTTTAAATCCGATGCGGAATCCACATACCTACGAATTAACAGAGCAATATTAAAGATAAAAATTTACAAAAGATTGTCCTCTAACATGAAGTGAAATAATATGTGACAGGACATTTACATACACATGCATATCAATAGAGAGCGTATGAAAAGTACATCTAGCGAACGTGTCCTACAATTTCTAAGATGCGAATGGATAGTACTTATTACAATCTTTCCCTTGATGGTGTACAGCTAAGCTTTTTTACACAGACACTTTATTTTCCCATAAAATTAAATTTTAGCTAGCTGTGAAATATATATGTATTTTTGTGTTGTACAATTCTTTTATTTCATTATACCCTACTATACTTACTATACTTTGTTTTGGGGGTATTATAAGTTTGATTGGGACAAAAAGTTTGCAACACCTCAAAGTATGGGTCATAACCCCACGATGTTATATATGTATAATCCAATCTCGCCTAGCTGAGTCGATCAAGGTATGTGTATGTGATAGTGTGATCTCTTTATATTTGGCTGGAACACCACTAGTGGCTATCGTTACAGCATTCCAGCATTTAAATGTGAATAAATCTTTTGTTTGTCGTACTATCGCTCGTCAAGGAAGTGGACGGAAGAAAACAGCAACATCATCAGAAATGGTTCGAAAAGTAAAGAAGCGACTTGATCGAAACTCAAAAGAGCTAAATAGTTGTTGTTGTTGTAGCAGTGACAACGTGCTGCGTTGGTTCTCCTTTGATGTCCAGGTTTAAGAATTCTGCTACCTTTATGGGCTGTAGCCAAAGATCCTCTGGACAGAGTTGGGTAGGCTTGGCTTGACAATTAAACAGGTACAGCGTTCTGTATCGCACTCTGGGCAGGCGTTCCGCACATCTTCATCTATTCGTGCCCAATATGAATTGAGACGGCTGCACCACCCTGAACGTAGTTGGGCCAAAACTACCCTGGTTTGCCCAGGCAGCCGACATTCTTCATCTGCAATGGATGGGGGCTGGACTCCGAGGATGGCATTAATACTGTAATTGTTTACTACCTCAGCGACTGCATCAGTATGAATGCTATTCAGACCCGCTTGATAGGCTTCATGATCTAGGGGCTCTCTTATATCGCTGGACCTCTCTCTCTAGATCATGCAGGTCCTTCCTGACACGCCTGGGTGGGGGAGTTCTGTCCACCATATGGTAGTTAGGATGACTCCCTCGATAACACCCAAGCAGGTACTGCAACGAAAGTATATAATTATGCTGACGTAAGGGAAGAACCTTTGTCTCCTCATGTAAATGGTCCACTGGGGTCATGAGGAGGCACCCTATTACAGTTCTCAGGCCGGCATTCTGTCAGATCTGAATACTTTTCCACTGCATTGCTCTTGTATTCGCGGAGCCACATAGCTAACCGCAGACCGACCTATCGCTTTATAAGAGGTCAACAAGGTTTCCTTACATACTTTTCAGTTTATCGCAGATAGCTGTGGCTTGCGCGGAAGACTTGAACATGCTATCGAATGTGACCCCCAGGATTCTAGGGTAGTTAGTAATCGGAATTATGTGCCCCTCGACCTGCACATTCAGTTGTGTTCTGATCTCCGCAGTCCATGTGGTAAATAGTGTGGCCGTTGATTTAGTGGCGGATATTTTCACATTCCTCGCATTGAAGAAGGCGGAAAGCTCCGCAAGATAGCTGTTCACCCTGACACATATGTCATCAACTACAGAATCCAACGCCATGATCGTACAGTCATAACCATATGTTACGATCTCGATTCCGTCTGGAGGGCGCGGAATTC